AAATGCCCAGTGTGTGTGTGTGTGTGTGTGTGTGTGTGTGTGTGTCTGTGTGTGTGTATGTGTGTATATTTGTGTGTCAGATTTGCCATCCATGCTTGTTGCCGCTGGCTTGTGTGTACCCAAGTTGCGCCGGCGGTTGCGAGCAACATCTGTTTCGGGGTTGTTGTTCCTCTTGGCTGCTTTTCAATTGGATTTCCTCAAGCAGGGCCAAAAGCTGTCACCTCTGCCAGGCTCTGTTAGCAATCACCGCCGGCCCCTATATTAAGTAGGTGGTTCAGGGCTAAGCTAATAACTCTCCCTCCTCTCCTGAGCCATCACACACCGGTACTGGTGTTGCTGCTGGCCTCAGTGTGCGCCTGTTTGTGTGTGTGTGTCTTCTATAGCTGTATACTTGGTAGAGTCAGGCTGGCCTGGAGGTCCCCTCCTCAAAGTGACAGCCCGACTGACTGGATGTGTGCGTGTGGGAAAGAAACGGGGAGAGTCCTAATAGCTCTTCTCAAAGAGGGAGCGATACGCTCGCCCTGATATTGTACAACAGGATGGAATCTGGAAGAAACCCCCGTCTCCGTGCCCACCCTCCTGCTTAGCCCATATTCAATAATGCGCCATTGTCAAAAGAACAAAATACAGAGTTTATTGATGCTGGATCGCCTTAATGGCTCGTGCATTTTTTTGCCTGGGTTGTGTGTATTCGCTTGCAATGTTATCAGCAATTTCAACTTTTAAAGTATTAGGTTTCAATACTTCAAAAGTCAGGTCAAAGATAAAGTTTCATGTTGACATTCTAACATTCCTAGCTTCTCGTATAATGAACGCAGTGAACATTTCTTTTACATGGGTTTTGATAAACATTAATGTGTAATGTTACAGCTGGGGTAATATTATACACGTTAACTTTAACAGTATGACACCGCTTCAGATCCAGCGTGCTCGTGTTTATATGTTCAAGACTTCGGTGATGATGTTGATGCCACGTGGCTGTTTTAGAACACGAGAACAAAGTGTCACCGAGTTCCCCTGTTTTGATTTTCTATTCCGTCTCTCCACTGAGAACCTCAGCTGGAGGTTACCAAGCTTTTATTGGGAGGTATTTACCTCCTCAAAGCTGACAGCGTGGCCGGCTGCCCGTCTACCTGCCTGTCTGTCTGCCCTCATGTCTCATTGCCAGCGTCTTTGGCCAGCTGGAGCAGTTACACAGAGCTGGATTTGAACCGAGGACCTGCAAAGTATCAACTCCTTGTTTCACAGCTTTGACAGACACTTTGATTTGACATGCCATGAGCAGTTAAAGTGAAAGTTATGTATACATGTTAATTAAACTGTTTATGCGTGGAGGGGTCAGAGACATTAGCAAGCCCCAGCAAAAAGTGTGAATTTCTTTTCTTTTCCCCCCATCACGGCGTTTTAACCTCTTCTGTCTCTCATTTCCGTAATGATTACCAGGTGCAAGGGTAGAATTTTTCCTCCCCTTTCATGCCAAGTGGGGATGCAGATAGCTCTATTTGTGAAAAGTGTCTCTGTGTGTTTGAATTTAGGGCTGGGGTATTTGACGTTGGGTTAAACTTGTTCAAATAGCGCTCATTTTGGGTAACATCGAGGCCTGGAATTCCTTAGAAGGATGTGGAGGTTGCGGTCTTCAGCTACTTACCCGAAAGCTGTCGGTCCAAATGAAAGATGTCATTTCTGAAAAGTATATCTATTTAGATTTTTGATGCAGGGTAAGACAGTTATAAATCAGATTTGACACTGAGCAGTTGCAGTGCCTGACGTTCTACTAAAACGGTATGGAACATGTGGTTCACGATAAGTATAAGTACAAAATAGGACCGCCTGATTCATGAAAGCTTTCGGTTAGATGGACTTTTTCTGTTCCATGTTTGCAGTTTTCCAGTACAGCAATTTACTGGAGTAATGTATTTCAAAAATTAAGCAAAAAAATTCACAATTACAGCAGGGATATTGATATACTGCTTGTAGAAATAGAAACAATTGCGTAAACACTGCAAGTTATAGCAGAAATAAATGGGTCAGTCAATACTGTTGACAGAATAGGGCTTAAATCAATAATATAATTAATGTGTCTTGACTCAAACAGCATTTGACTTAATAATGCGATGCCTGTACATCTAAATTGGAAAGGAATAAGGACATAGATCTCTAGCTTTTGACATTAAGGAAAACATGTTTTTAATTGAATTAACATTTCCACGTATAGTATGTAGAAGCTTTTAAGTAGAAACATTTACACAAACACTGCAATAACACTTGTATCATTAGTACATTGTGCATTTTATGCACTCAGTTGAAGAGTTACAAGGACAGACGAGATGGGATGCGATGCACTTACAAGAGGAGATTGTCAACATTGGAGTAGTAACCAGTAAGAAAGTTAGAGCCACATAATCCTGGTTTAATGGAACCGACTCAGTTGACTGTGGAGGTAAATTGATTGCTGACTTTGATTTGGTCTTTCTGCTCTTTGATTAAAGAAATGCTATTTTCTGTATCGTGTTGCAGCATAGTACATCTCTCCGGGGTGATAATGTTTCAGTGTTTGTTGGCTTTAGCTTTTTAAACATACAATTGTTCCCTAATTAGCAGGATGCTAATTAATTTATGCTCCCGTGTTTGATGTACACTATAGCAATACTTTGAAAGCAACTGCATCCATTCTTTGCATAAATTTGTAGCATTTGCCGCTGAGTTCAAAAGAAACAGGACTGAGTTTAGAAAAGCACACATTCATTTAAATGATGCGGCCCATTTTCTGTCTGTTTGTTTTTAGCGGGAATATTAATGAATTAACATTTTAAACAATCCATCATTATTGTTGTGCTGCCACTTATTTTTAACTCTATTATAATCTAATAGATCATTTTTCATAATATGCAGAGTGTGTTCTCCCCACTTTGTTCACTACACAACAAAAGATTATTTACAAAATAGAGGAGTGATCAAAAACATGATAATGAAATTGCAACAATGAGTTGGAAATTGCAATTATAATGCAATACAATAGGGTCTGCGTTTGCAAATTATCACCACTGTCTATTATCATGTGTGTACTTGTGGGTGTGCTGGTGAAAGCAGCATATTATCCAATAGTATGTTGTGATAAACTATGTACAAAACTTTGTTTCTGCTGAAAAAATGCCATGAACATTAAAGGTTGTAATTTAAACTGCATGGATTTAAAAGAAAAAAGTAGGTAATTTATCTTACAGGTATCTTTTAAACCTATTTGTTAAACCCGGTAAAAGCATTCAAATTCTTATAATATTTGCGCTGTATTAATATTTATTCCACATGCATTTGAAAAAACACCAACGTTTTGTGATATGATATTTGTAGCTTGACAGGTCAAAACATTTTAGACGTTTTTTTTTATCTACACTACTGGATATTTGGTATAGCAGTCGATAACAGTTGAACGTTTTACTTGCCCAGTATGAATTAAAAGATGAGTTTTGAAAGACAGAAATCTCGTCTTCAGCATTAGTGGTATTCGTTATCAACCTTGGCAATCCCCCCCCCCCTCCATGTTCACCTTGTGCTGTTGAGCAATACGAATGTCTCCTTGTCCTAAATTCATCCCATTCCTCTCTGCATTAGGTCACAACCGACATTACACGCAACTGAAAGTAAGAAGCGTGGGGACAAAAACCGCGGGATCCCTTGTTATGCCGGTTGTCTTCAGCATGTCAGAGTCCAGCGTAGCCGTCAGTCTGAAGAGGATGGATTTCCTAAGATGTCACCTGACAGCCCGACAGACAGGGGCAATTCAGTCCCTGGAGGACAGGGGAGCAGCCAGTAGTAGGTGGGTGGGCAGAGGCTCGGGCTAGAGGTCGCCGCAGTCGCCGTCGTCGGCGTCGGCCTGTCACTCTGAATGGGCCCCCCAAATCATGTTGTCAATGGTGATGCATCGACACATCCCTCCGGCAAAAATTGGATGCTCCAAACTTGACTTGATTGATGCATTGACCAGGTTGTGCCTGTTCTCGGGGTGTGTGTGTACAAAAGACAGACGCACACCGAGCGGTGAAAAGAGGGAAAGATGCGCTTTTAAAGTTTTCTTTTTTTTAGTTTTTTTTTTTTTGCGAGACCCACTGTGGACGCTTTGTCAAAGAATCTCCCGTATTTATCAGCCTTGAAATTTATAGGATTTTACCTGCCTTTTCAGTTTTCCCGGTAGATCTTTTGTGGCACGGTTCAATCGGTGCCGCTGAGAATGTTGTTCTCACCGTTGCCATTGAGGCAGCGGTATTACATTATGGCTCGAGGGCGAATGCACAGCTCGTACATTCAATGGATGCCACAATGGATTGGAATGAAAAATAGATGTTTTTCTGTGACCAAAAGTGCAGCCTTTTATGCATCCAAGGGCATGGCATTCTTGGGCCATGGGTACTAGCCGTGGAGTTTTGTGAACATGAAATATCTTCTTTTATGTGTCAATTTTTCATTATGCTCCCTCTGCCTCTCTCTTTCCTCCAATGGTTTTCCTTGATAGTCTCGTCTGGCCTGGGTTGCTCTCTTTATGTGTCTGTGTTTTCTGCTCCTTTTGGTTCCTCTAAGTTCATTTGTTTCTCTTCCATTGGTTTGTGAAGACACGGACTGTGGAAATGTGTTTATTTCTGAGCTTGAACTCTGTGTATCATGTTTTTTTTTCTTAATCATACAAAAACTATGGTTTTGTTTCTGTGCAGAAAAACACATACATCACGTATTTCTGATGAAGCTACGTGGACACATTGGAATCTTTCAAGACCTAATTTATCTCTCGTTACTTTTCACCAAAGCCGACAGACACCAAAGAGAAGAAAATAAACCTAAATTGTTGCTTCACTATTTACCTTTTGTCTTTTTTTTTTTTTTCCACCTGACGATAAGAGAGAAAACAACTAACAACTTTGTCCTCCTCTCTCTCTCTCTCTCTCTCTCTCTCTCTCTCTCCCTCCCCGTTTCTTTCTCTCCCTTTCTTTCTTTGTCTGTGTTTGCAGGGCCTGTTCATCTTCCTGATATATGGGGTGTACAACACAGAGGTAAGTCTGCATTGTGTCTCAAGGCTGTCGGAGTGAATGAGAGAAATGACAAGTTTCTGATGGGTTCCTTGCTTAAAAGCTGTGTGGGTGGTGCGGTGACAGTACGAATGTGTGTGTGTGTGTGTGTGGGGGGTGGGGGGGGGGCGCGCCATCGTTTCCACGCGAGCGTCCCGCTGCCCTTCATGCTTGGACTAACTTATATGCATCCGAGTCCGACCATTAAACACTGACACGCCGCGGTTCTCAGCCACTCATTCCTCACCCACATTGGCTAATATTTCACTGCCTCTTTAAGTTTTTAAACTCACGGCCCTCCATTTAGCATCCTGACAAAGCCGCTGGCCGGGGCTTTCGCGGGGCCCCCCCCCCCAAGCAGTAACCATAGTAGGACAAAAAAATAAAAGCAAATACGCAACCAACAATATGTATTGAATGAGGACGTATTGTATAGAGATGCTGCTTTATTACCATTTAGATGCGCCACAGCTGTGTAGGGGTGGAGGGTCTGCTTGAGTGGGGAGACGCAGATATATACGATTTAATGGATGAGACTCAAGTGGAGAAAATCACTCTTGGTCAAATGTGGCCCTTGTAAATAGGGTTAACTACAGATGTGCATATGTGATATTGCATCTAAGCCTTCTTTGAATATATATTTTTGAACTTGGTGGTCTATTTTTAATGTTTAGGCACTTCCCACTGTGGTGAATTTTGCACTTTAACATTCAAATTCAGGAAAAAGTTGTGAAACACCATTGGTCCATTGGTCTCTTGTTGCTTTGAATCAATTTCCAAGGTCATGATCTATATACATGTATATTACGTTTAGATCTGAGTAACATGGTGGTATCACACCTCTTTAAAGTCTTACAATAATTATATTACATTAACCGACCCTCCCTCCCTCTCTGCCAATTTAATTATCCTATCACTATCGCAGAGGACCTTTCATGTGTAACATTTGCATTTCCTGTCCTTTCTTCATTCCCATTTTGTCTTTCCTCCGGCGCATGAAGAGCTGTCCCTGAGTCCCAGGCGATGCGCCGACAATGCGGAGCAAAGGAGGGTTGACCTCTTGCACTGTAAAATAAATCCACACAGCATTCTTGCTTAAGTGGCTTTTTAAGTGCCTGGGAATTCATTGGCATTGCCCTTGACCATGGGAGCAGCTCATGTACATGTTCTGTTTTTCAAAAGGACCACACTTCCCTGTTAACATTTGAAGAAAAAAAAAAAAAAAAAGAAAAGCAAATCTGTAATTTTGCCGTCATTCAGAGCAACGCACTTCCCTTTTGTTTTCCCCTCTGAACCCCCAGCACCTTTGTGGGGGCGCTCCTTTTGTTCTACTCAACCTGCTCGACCTTCTGTTTTGTGTCTTCAACTGGTCTAGTGTTTGGCACGGCGCTGGCTTCAGGTTTCACAGTTGCCTGACAGGGAGGATTTGATTAATAGAAAATCAAACACGCAATGAGCCAATGTGAGGCAGGAAGGTTCCTGCCGCGTCCGTCTCCACTGAGGCTAACCTGCTTTGATGGTCGCGTCGCACAGATTTTTTTATAGAGTTGGGGGAAAAAAACTTTGGAAAGTTATTTTTTCACCTGGAACAAATGAGTCATTTAGACATTAGACATTTTTCATTTTGCTTTGAGATGCTAAAGAAGGGTGTAGAATCACCTACTGGCTCATAGTGGGGAAATGCTCCATGCACGAGGCTGATAATTACCAACATTGCACGGAAGACAGACTACGGCTGCTGCTGTTGCTCTCAAAATGCAGCGTTTTAATTGCTAATTACCTGACAATAGCTCACCGTTTTTTATTGCAATTAGCTTTCCCTTGGTGGTCACCTTGTAATCCTGCGCTTTGATGACCTTTTATTTCCATCAGCTCCAAGGATGTCGGCAGGTGTTGTTGGGCGCGCTGCTTTCATATGGTAATCGCTTAGCGCCCATTTACATGGGGAACCACGCTTTGCATCATCCGAAACCTTGAGTGTGCGCAAAAGCCCTTAAACACATAACGATCATCTAAAACAATGCCCTTCCCCTCATTGTCAAATGATTAATTAAGTTGTGTCATGTAATTGCCTCAGCACGCCGGCTGCTTTTGATATCAATTAAATCCCCAGGACTTGCTCTCCGCATTAGATTGTGTTAAAGACGTTGCCTCTGCCACGTCTGCATCGCGTTGAAGGCCTTTTGTGGGTCTTGTCAGAAATAATAGGAGGATTTTGGAAAGATAATACTGGTGCTGCTGATTCTGCCCTGTCACAATGCTCCGGACTCTCTTTATAATGGGGCCCTTCAACGTTGGTACGTATGCAAAACATCCACTGTACACACACGCCGTCTTTGAGACATTGTGTGTGTGTGTGTGTGTGTTTAGAGTGGTGTCATAACTTATAACACGCTGCGACTTAATGAAGCCATAAGCCGTAATGCATATTCACTAACGTGGTAGGTTGGGCTGGGACGGGCCGTAGTGATGAGGTCCCATCCGCTACAAATTTACTGTGAGCGCTGACAATGCGCGCGCACACACACACACACACACACACAGTGCCAGAGGCTGTTCATAGAACACTTCATCCTACTTTACTCAGACTGAGTAATTTCTGCTCTTCTGTGTTTCTGAAATATTGTTGTTGTAGGAAATTGATCATAGAAAATCAATTATATAAAGATGCTACAATATTCAATTAATGATAATATAATTTTCAATTGATAAAAAGAAAAATCGTTAGACCTATACAAATGTATTATTAATTGAATGGATCAAGACATTTTAGCAGGAAAACACATTCATTCATAACTGCAACTCTGTGAAAAGTGTTTGGGGTTGATTCTCATATTATTATTATTCCATGATGCAGGAGCCGTTTTGAATTTGTTTTCCATCTAGTAACCCTTATTTAATTGAAACATTTATATTTACAGATTCAGTTTTTATTTTATTTGTTTGTTTATTAACAATGTTTATTCACAGTTTTTATAGGTTAATCAAAGCAAAATGAAGATTAAATTGCTGCATTACCTTTTTTTATCTCTTTCATCCACAGTATTTCCATGGAAATGTTTGTTGATACTATTAAGCATTTATCACTTATCAAGTTGAATAATTACTCTACATACTGTACTATAGTTTTATTCTTTATGAAAGTGGTGTCTGGTGTTGTGTGTGTTAAATGAAGGCGTCCAGTTCACCGTTTCATCCGGAGTGTAAAAATGTAATCTGTTCTGCTAGGGCGGTCCCTTCTACTCCAATAGCTCCATTTGTTGGTCCCGTCCTCTATGCTGACAGATGATAGCTTGAAGTCGTCTCCTTAGTTTGCCAGCTCTATGTGTCACTTTCAAGTCCCATTAGCCACTGGGACATACTGGAACACACGTACATGCGCTCATACTCGCACGCACCTGCACACGCACACACACACACACACACACACACAAACCTCCCCGACTGCAGCCTGCACCTGCAGACCAACCTTCCATATCTGTTGTTTACAATCCGTTCCTTTCTCATTTCTCCATTTAGTTCTCCGGGTGCTTGCATTTCTTTTGCTGTGATTTCTGATCGATTGCGAGCGCGTTCTATTGAGCGTTGTGTCAGGTGCACTCATCTCTTTCTCTCTCACTCTCTCCCCTTTTCTTTCAGGTTCGGAGCACGGTCAACAGGATCAAGGAGAGAAGAAAAGCGCTGAATTTTTCAGTATGTTGTCCTCTTTTTCTTATTTTTAAGTGTGTATGTTTACTCTGGTTTTTCTTTATTTTTTGCCTCTGATACTCACTGGTGCGATGGACTAAATACTCCTTGCCAATGAAAGCTGGCCACTAAGCAACATTGTACATCCCCTAGTCGACAGTCCATGGTAGATGCCCTTATACATCAAACATGGACCCACCGTAATAGCTCTCCCCCTTCCTCGCTCTGCCTATTGCAGCACCTTCATCCCAGCAATGTCAAGCTCCGTGGTGGGTTACAAGTTTCTAATCCAGGACAGGCCGTCCCCTGACATTAAAGTGTCAAGCCAGTATTTATACCTCGTTGGACGCTGCTGTTTGGCTGAGGCGGTGGGATGCTGCGTGTGTGTGTGTGTGTGCGTGTGTGTGTGTGCGTGTGTGCGTGTGTGCGTGTGTGTGTGTGTGGATAGGAAGCTCGTACTGTAGCCTACACAAAGCACTTTAAAAGTATTTAATAGTCTCAGGCACACACGTACACACATATCACACACAGACACATACAGACAATTATGGAGCCTAGCACCTTGACAAACACAGACTGTCATCATTCCACTCTCCTTTGCCCCCGTCACACACACACACACACACACACACACACACACACACACACACACACACATGCTCGCACAATGCATCTTGTCCCTTGTGAGTGATCACATTAACTCCGCTCCTCTTTGGCCGGCAACACTTTGTCCTGCCCCCTCCCTCTGCTCCCTGACCCACACATGTGCGCCCCCCCCCCCCCCCCTCCTCCCCGATATTCCCCAACCTCCCGCTTCAGGTCATTGAAGAAGGAATGAAATCATTTCTGACGGTAGATTGATTTTTTTTTTTTTTTTTTTTAAATATCAGGGTGCCCTTAGTTCCTCTTGACCCCCCCACCTCGCAGATGGACACTGTAAGGATGGGAGGAAATTGAATAAATAAATAGATGATATAGAACGTTTAGTGTGTCTACGTTGGGCGGTTCGGTTTGGGGAGTCGGGGAGGGGGGGGGGGGCCCGCGTTGTCCCTTGTTGCCAGGTGCCGTCTGATATATTGGCTTCTCATGTTATCAGTGAGACCCCACCCTCCCAAGCCCCCTATACACCGTCATTTTTACTGCTTCCTCTCCCCTCTGTTGGTGGCAATTTTCCAATCTTGTTGGGTTCTGCTACCAGAATGCGTTTTTTAGCCATCACTGCCGCCTGACGCTTTTTAGCTAATGCTATTTTGTGCCATAAATCCTGCTTGAAATATTGTATCTACCTGTCCTTTGGTTAGATAGGAGACATTTGGCTCTAGATGACCGCACATGCCCCTATATATCCCCTTGTTGTAAAACATAGGATTGGGTATCGTTCCTTGCCGGCTGAGGGATAAAGAGGCTTTGCCAGTATTACTGCATATGGGGTCATTTGAAGACGAATGGCACTTGTCGGAGAAAGAGGGGTTTATATGTTGGATTATTTGCAACTACCGAAGGACTAACCCAACGGGATAATTCACTGCAACTGCAAATTTGCTGAATCGATGTTGGTTATTTAAATTATAGCAAATGATTTGAAACTTTCATTTCTTTTTTCTTGATCACCAACATCGTAAGCAGCGAATACTGAGCCTTTTCAAGGTCATCTGACAGGCCGGATCTCATCGGATGTGTTTTCTTTAAGAAGGTCGGGCACCACACAGCAACAGTCATTTATTGTATCTGGTTTAGTGCACATGGTATCAGACAAAATGTGTTTTATATACCCCCCCCCCACAGGAAACAGGAAGATATTTGGAATATTGAGGGAACAATTTAAGTACATATTGCTCTTGGCACAGCGACTTGACACACCTCTGACCTTGACGACCTCTCATATAAATTCCCCCTAAACCTAATCACACACTATCCCCTCTTAAATTCCACATTTCTGTCCACCTCCGTAGCTTTTTTTTTCCATGTGGCAGACCTTTACATGGGTGAGGGGCAGCGTTTTATACTCACACATATACACACTATACTATAACTATTGTAGACTCTTTTTGAAACCAAGTATCTCACACTCTGACCTCCCTCACACACACACACACACACACACACACACACACACACACACACACACACACACACAGCCAGATTGCTTTGTGAAATAAAGCTGTCAGTATAAAACACACCCCTCCCCAGTACTCCGCCCCTGACACCACTGAAATATAGAAATAAATTGGAAGCGGATTAGTTGTTCTGATCTTAATTCAAGTTTGGACAACATAGGAAGGAAGTAGTTGTTTGGAATCAGTCATGGTGTTGAGAAAACCCACAATTAACTGTGACTGTGATAAGTGTGATCTTTACAACAGTAGATATATGTATGTTCCTGTCTGGTAACTCCGTTATACTGCGTGTTGTTAAATAAAATACTGTATAATCATTTCCGTTGCTAAGACCCCTGGTGGGAGGGACTCACGATGATGTTTAGCGGTGCATGTATTTCACTGTCGCGATTTGTTTCTGTGTGTAATCTTCACTGAAGCTGGACAATCGACGACACGGCCAGCGGCTTGAGGCATTCCTGCCCTGTAGAAGTGCAGTATGAAATATAAGATGCCTTCGAGCCTCGGTTTTCTGTCGGTCCCTTTATTTTGGTTTGTCTGGAAGATGTACGTGTGAAGCAAGACGATTATTCTGAAAACAGTTTTGGTCCTGGCATTGTTACTCGTTTGTTACTGATTGTGACTGAAGTGTTAAATGTAAAAATCTCCTGCAACAAGACGCGGTCCGGAGCCGTTCTACTTGTTTGTCAGTCTCCTGAGAGCAAGCTGAACATTGCAGTGACTCTTGGGGTCCAAGTATTAGATTAAGGTTTCAGCCGTTTAGCTTTTAGTAGATCAAAACGCACAGTCGTCAATATCGTAACCTCTTCACATTCTGTTGGCGATTAGTTAAAAGTCCAGATTGGCCAGATTGTACTCGTTGTACCGTAAGGAGTATAATCCTTCCGATGGTCGGCTGCAGCTTACAAATCCTTCTCATTTCCTACAGAACTGCGCCAGCTCCCGACCATCCAGCTCAGCTACCAGCTCTCGTCCGGTCAGTTTCCCACTAGGAACTACGCCGAGCCAGGAGGAGGAGGCCTCCCCAACCAACACGCGCAGGAACAGCCCCGACCTGGCAGGGCAGGAAGAGACGACCGGAGGTGAGTCACACCAATGCCGTACAAATCTGGTGCTCGGCCTCTGCACCAGCCGCCCCTGTGGTGGCAGCCGTGTCTTTTTCTTATTAGTCACTGACATAATTGTTGATGCCGGTAGTTTCGCCTGTGCTCTTCCTGCTTTGAATGATAAACGTGTTTTATAAACGCACAATAAAAGATAAAGTTGAAGGTGCATTGATAGTGCAAAGCCTTCGACAGTGACAATTTTGCTACGGTCCTCTATTAACTTCTCCCGCACAGTTTTCATTTCTCAAGAATCTGGAATCAGGAACATATATTGCCAAAGTATGTGAGACATGCAAGGAATTTGACATGGTAGTCAGTAAGACGATGAGACAATGGACAACAAGACAAATAACACAGTGCAGGAAAAATGACACGGTGAAAATCATATATACGGTATAAAATTGAAGAATTTACAGTACAGGAATATAGAATCAAAAATGCACAGAGGAACAGATACTCTACACAGCTGGGTTGTGAATGCATGTGAAGGTTCTCTCTTTTGAACTAAACATAACATGGCAAATTACAAAAATACTTTCTATTAGATTACTCTGCTGGCCTTCCTTCTCAAAAAGCACAACCAATCCTCCATAAAGAACATGGAAGGCCACCTATATATTTGTTTTCTCAATGTACGCTCCTTTGCAAACGGCAGAACCTGCAGCCTTGCTTTTTGAACATTTTCAGTTCAGAAGTGGCAGTTTTGCCTGTGAAGGATTTTCATTTCACTACATTGTTTGGTACCTCAAATGCAGCGATGCTTTTTTAGTATTTAATTCAATGGAATTAACAGGTGTTGACAGTTAATGTGTGCCGTGTGTCTGTGTACAGTGGCAGACTAAATAAACTGCACCAGAATTATCCAAAAATATAGAGCTTTCCGAGGTGAGTTGAGTTGCTCATCTCACATTTTTATAGATAAGTTTTATGTACCTATTTATATTAAGTATAGTGATATATACTGTATATCTCAACTTTTTCTCTGCACTTTACTTTACTTTAGTTTACTTTATTCGGCACTTCTATTTCCTGCTACTACTCTGCCTCCATAATATTGCATTTTTGTTAGTCTGTGACGCTTTCAATTGTATTGTGTTATTCTGAGGTGTTTTCTACTATTTAGACTGACTTCGCCGACAGAAATGGGTGGTCGACATCTTTGAAACCATACATCTTTCAAAATGATCATGAAGTTGACTCAAGTCTTTCTATGTACTTTAACCCCCCCTCTGTTCCCCCACTGGCATATCTGCAAGGCATTACTGAAACAGAGAGTATCTGAACTGAAACAGAGAGTATCGTCTGGCCTGTTGAGTGAAATCAGACATCAGAAATCTCGCGTCAAACACTAACCAGACACACTGGCTTCAATCTAGCTGCTTGACCCGTGCTGCACTCAGCAGAGTAAAGAGTCATTTGGTTGTGGAACAGATTGGAGACACCAGTTTCAAAGCAGGGAAAGAAAGAGGGAGAGGTCAATCCCTGGTTTTATTCCGTGATTCTAAACCCGTCACAGTGGCACTTGCTCTGTTCCCTTTATTTATGCAGCATTTACAGCGTTAAGTCATTTTTATTTTTAAGTAGGGATTTATTTACAAAAACAGAGAAAACCCAAACTGAAATAATGGCTCAAAAAGAATACTAATGACGATGGACAATTTTCATTTCAAATAACTTTTTTAATAATTCCATAACTAACAAACTATATATTTTAAATACAATAAGATTATGGTTAATGACTTATACGGTACTGATATTCTCATTTGAATTGTGCATGTGCTGTGTGTTATTGCTTCTTGTTGCCACTGTGTGCGCCTCCCAGACTGTGATTTACAGCGTTTCCTTTGCAGTCGATTTGCATGGTCCTCAACACTATTACTGTCTCTCTCACTCAGTCGGCACGCAGTAGTTAAATCAGCCCCTCACATTTAAATGACTGAAACTCCAATGAAACCTGACAAATCATGTTTTTTATGTAACACAATTGTGGAAATAATTGATTGTCAGATGACATTATTCAGCCCATTTGCCAACGCTATGACATGCAAATGCCATCGCCTCCGTGTGATTGAGTGCTGGGAATTGGCTGTCGGCCGAGTGCTCAGATACAACAAACTAGTGCTGCCGTATGCGTGTTAACATCCAGCATGGCGGATACAGGCAAACATGCACCCTCCCTTTGCTGTAACCAATCATGATCACATGAACATATTTGTTTTTATACTGACCTCTTTTTTGGGATGCGATGTTGTTAAGAGGTGATACACTTCTCTGTTGGGACGCTGAAGCATTTTAATATTAAATAATAGTGCGGTCAAACGATTAAAATATTTAATCACGATTAATCACATTTATTTCATAGTTAACTCAAAATTAATCGCACATTTTTATCTATTTATTTTTCCATATATATTTTTTTAATTTTAATGCTCTTATCAACATGGAAAGGCGGATTGACTTGCTTTATTGATTTGATTTTATTGAAAAACAACAGGGCGGTGCATAATTCAATTATAAAGTGCACATTTCAGTTAAAGGCTTAGGGTTTTGTATGTACTTGGAAATGATTTGCCTGAAAAAATGATTATATATTGATTGTATGTTGGTATGTTGTTGTGCTGGTGGGAGTTTTTACTACAAGATGAAGGAGGGGTGCTGGATTTGTTTTCTTTTCTACATGTTTTATGAGTGACATTTGTAGGACTGTCCCTCAAACAGGATCAAGTAGTTGGGTCACAACATGTGAAAGAAAACATTTGAGGGGGAAAAAAACGGTAATCTTGTGAGAAAAAAATTTACGCCGTTAAAATGGGTTTGCAATAACGCCATCAATAACGCCATTAACAATGCCATTAATAATGCCATTAATAACGCGTGTAACTGACAGCACTAAGAAATAATAATAATACATTTTATTTATAACATGCTCATCGTTCAACATCTCAGAATGCGACAGAGCCAGCAAAACAAAGGTAAAACATAGTATATTACTATGGTTAATTAAATCAAGATGCAATTCAGAATCTGAATATAAACATTAATTTTGTCTTCAGCGTACAATCCATTCACATGGTCGCTCAATCTGTCTTTTCCCATCAAATCGCATTCATCTAATTTATAATAAAAGAAAAAAAGACATTTAGCCAAACCATGCCAGAATCGGCATGAGCAGAATGTTGCATTTTGGGAACTGGTGGCTGAAGATATTGATTCATTTTGAAAGGGCTCTACACTTAAAGGTACTAAATGCTTTATCATCATGAAGTACAAACAACATACGCACAGATGGGCCCCTTTTTTCTTAACAATAACCACACCCTCTCCTAAGTGATAGCAGTGGCCTACATGCACAAGGTCAGACCCTTCTTGTGCCTTTTCCGTATTGGCACGAATGTCCAAAGCAGACAATGGATTATGTTGAGGGCACATGGTGAAAAATGTGAACAAAGTAAAGCACATATTTGCTGTGATCACAAGAGAAGGACAAGTGCATAATGAAGGAATATGGGGTGAAGTGTGTGGGGATTTGATTTGAAAGGGGAATGGCTGTTGTGGGTGTTTGTGTATGAGTGTTGCATTCCTGATGAGATGGCCCCACACAATGCCTGAGTTGAAGGTTGTGAGCCCTTTTAGGCAGGAATAATAAGCCGGATCCCTGCTGTTACCTCTCATCATGTTCCTGTTTTGTTACAGCCGCCTCCTCAAAAAACAAAGATGGTCAGGCAGTTATCCTTCTGTTATGGTTTACATGGTTCATTAAAGGTCACCGAATGCTTTCCTGTGGGGTCTCTTTTACTTGCAGTGAAATTTCGGTTCATCGTGCCGTTTCATGTTCAATTGTGTCAGTATTTGAAGGCACGCGTCCCTAAAGTCTTCCTCACATTTTGGTGTTTTTAAATGTAACAGTCGTGTGAGGGATTAAAACAGCCTGTTTAGTTGGTTCATTTAACACAGAAAAAAATACATCATTGCAAAACAAATTCACGGTGTCATTTCCAGTTAACGTAACGCAACTTTTAAGAACCATATGCCTGCACATTGCTGACACCTGACTCTCCTCCCCTTTCCTCTTGTTCCTCAGCATCCCTCGCAATTAGGGGCCTTGTACATTAAGTGGTGTGAATGCATCTTCTGCAGATTACGCACAGGTCCTTCGTTGACACCACCAGGGTTGCCTCCCCTTTTGCCTCCCTCCACCCACACTACATCACTTGTCATGCAACGTTTAACCAAGTGCATTGACATGCAACAGGTTCCCCGCCACTATAAATACAAAAAAGAAAAAGAAATACTCATATGTGTAATGACAGCATGTTTGTGGAAATTGAATTTGGGTGCTTGCTTTCTTCCATTTCCACGTCAATTACTGAAGATCACTTGCTGTCAAGTGCCTCAATAACTTTAATTATATATAAGGAAGAGAAAGTGACGTTTGGTGAATACATATAGGTAGTATCAGGAGATCAAAATACACAATTAAAACTACTGAAGGGCATATAATGTACAGCTATGGTGTGAAAGGCTAACACAATGTGCCTCTGAACTCCATGCTACCTTTACCAGTGTGATATTACAGTACATTACCTAGTCTCATACCACAGTATCGGTCACTATTTAAATCATTTTGAAAACACGTAACCATTTTTATTTTTGTTTAGGAAATTATGTAAAGAAATGCTTAAAAATGTGATTTCAGTTAAATCTGATGGAAGCTATATTATTGTTATTATAAGTGATATTAATAAAAAATGGTATTGATATGTGCACACACCTTTCTTTTTGTTTTTCACTTGTAAGACACACCTGTGTAACATTGTGAAGTACGCTCCTACAGTACTGTTTCTTCTAACCAAATGATTGCTCTATTCACACAAGAATGGACCGTCTGTTTGAAGGTTTTTTTTTTTTTAACATAGCAGAATCAATTTAATAATGATGTTTTTTTTTTTGCTGACCCTGATGTTCCATTTGAACCG